CTGGGGTCACCGCGGCTGCCTCGGTCGTGAACACGGGGACAGGTTCCGGTTCCGGTTGCTCCTGCGTAATTATTCAATTATTTATTTGGAATTTTCTCTTTCAAACTTTCGCGTATCTGAATGTTCAATCGGGGAATTTTAGGGAATATTTGAAAAAAAAGAGAAAAATATTATTTTATTTTCTTGCGTTATATTATATAATTATAATATATAATAATATATTATATAATTATATAATTATTTATTTGGAATTTCCTCTTTTAAACTCTTATATCTGGATGTTCGATCGCGATTCAATGTTCGATCGTTTTAGGGAATATTTTGAACATTTTGAACATTTTATTTTCCTGCGTAATTATTCAATTATTTATTTGGAATTTTCTCTTTCAAACTTTCGTGTATCTAAATGTTCGATCGTTTTAGGGAATATTTTGAACATTTTGAACGTTTTATTTTCCTACGTAATTATTCAATTATTTAATTGGAATTTTCTCTTTCAAACTTTCGCGTATCTGAATGTTCGATCGTTTTAGGGAATATTTGAAAAAAAAAGAGAAAAGTATTTTGAACAGTACCTGAGGAACACTTTGTTGCTTATGTTGATGCTGCTCGTCTTCCTCTCGATGTTGGTCATCACCCTGAGGCTGAGGATGATTCGCTTCATCGTGTGGACGATGTTCGTCCTGTTGAGGACGCTCGTTATGCTGATAATCTTCCTCCTGTTGCACCTGATGTTGCTCGTCCTCGTTGTAAGCCTCGTCCACCTCTGGGGCGGCTTGCGCCTCCGCGCTTGACACTTCCGGTTCCTCGATCGGTTCCGGCCCGTTGCTCAAATGAGGTGGCTGCATGCCACCGAAGAATGCCTCACCGCTCACCGCGTTCCCTTGCGCGAAAACACCGGTCGCCTGGCCACCGTGATTCGAACGACGAACGGGTCTGTAGTATCCGGTGAACATCATCGCTCTCTGAGGGTACGGGTGCACGGCTGTCCTCTTTTCCCGGAGGAACACTATAGGATTTCCGTAAGGATCTAGCATCACTGAAACTATCGACAATTGGATTAGATTCGATGATGAACGATTCGGGAGAAGGTTGTAGGATTTCCATACAAAGATCTATCGTCACGATTGAATAAAATAATGGATGGATTCAGAAAGAAGATTTAGGATCAGTGAAATTGGATGAAATCTAGATCCAATAATGGATGATCCAGAAGAAGATTATAGGATTGTTATAAAGATCAAACGTCAGGATTGAATAAAATAATGGATGGATCCAGGAGGAGGATCTAGCATTGAAACTATCGACAATTGAATTAGATTCAATGATGGGTGATTTAGGAGAAGGTTATAAGATTTTCATAAAGATCTAACGTCACGATTGAATAAAACAATGGATGGATTCAGAAAGAAGATTTAGGATCAGTGAAATTGGATGAAATCTAGATCCAATAATGGATGATCCAGGAGAAGGTTATAGGACTGCCATAAAGATCTAACGTCACGATTGAATAAAATAATGAATCCAGGAGGAGAATTTAGCATCATTGAAACTGTAGACAATTAAATTAGATTCAATAACGGGTGATTTAAGAGAAGGTTATAAGATTTTCATAAAGATCTAACGTCACGATTGAATAAAACAATGGATGAATTTGGGAGGAGGATCTAGCATCATTGAAACTATCGACAATTGAATTAAATTCAATGATGGGTGATTTAGAAGAAAGTTATAGAATTTTTATAAAGATCTAACGTCACGATTGAATAAAACAATGGATGGATCTAGATCCAATGATGGATGATTCAGGAGAAGATTATAGGATTTTCATACAAAGATTGAGGAGGATCATTGAAATTATCGACAATTGAATTAGATCCAATGATGGGTGATTCAGGAGAAGGATTTAATAGAATTTTCACACAAAGATTTAACATCACGATTGAATAAAACAATGAATGATCCACGAAAAAGATCATTGAAACTATCGACAATTGAATTAGATCCAATGATGGGTGATTCGAAAGAAGATTATAGGATTTCCATAAAGATCTAACGTCGCGATTGAATAAAACAATGGATAGATTCAAGAGGAAGATATCTAACAAAAACTGTCGACAATTGGATGAAATCTGGATCCAAGAACTGAGCTCGAGGAACAGGAGCGTCTAGATCTAGACGTGGCAAAAGGAGGACAGCAATCGATTTAACGTTCTAATTAATTTTACTTACTAGGTTCAGCTGGAATGACTCTAGACTCCGTCATCAGGATCGTCGTCGCCACGACGAGGAGGACGAATGTGATCCAGTGCGCCATCCTCGCGAATCAAATGAAATAGAAGTTGAACCGAAGAACTGACGCGAAATCTTGAAAAAGAAAAATAAAGAACGCGTTCTACGAGGTACACCACGAGTTGGGGGAGGGAGAGAAGGGGCAAGCACCTGGGTCTACCTGGATCGCGAACTTTTTGCACGATGCTGCTATTCTCGAATCCGCAATTGCTTTTATACCAGGAGCTAGGATCACGCGGGGGATGGGATGGATCGGTCGGATCCACGCACACGGAACGGGGATACGGGACCCCTCTGGAGCCCTCCCCACCATCGATCGTCAGGTGGTTGCCTCGTACCCAACAGGATCGTCGTAACGCAAACGTGCGCATCGTTCAACGATACGTGATCGTCATCCGAGATCGGACATCGACTCGATCGAACGCATTAATTGCGAATCTCCCTGCAGAATCTCCGGATGAATTTGCGCCCGATTGCAACTGCAGCCGCGCAACCCTAAACTTCGCGATAGAACGCATCGATCGAACAGAAATCGAGCATGAGAATTCGTTGTCCCGGATTTTGATCAAGGGATCGAGGCAAAGACGTTTCCGTCCTCTCTTATGACCATTATCGAATCGAATCGATCGACGAAAGGAGGATATACGTGGAACGATACATGGTGCATCGTATCCGTTTTCGAATCCATTTCTATAAATATCCACGATCGAAGCCAAGACGGACTCCAAGTTTTCCTCCGACTCTCTATATATCCCTGCTTTCACAAGAATTCGCGTTTCCAGAATTTCTATTCCCTTCCCTCGATCGTCCCTCCCCTTCATCTTTCTTTTTATATTTCTTCGATTCCGCGACCCGCTTGTTCCACGAAACGCTCGCTCCCCGAGGGAGAGAATTCGTCCGGGACTCTCGTCGAGACTCCCCGAAGACGTTCGTCGAAATTCGAGGTCGATACACGATAAAATTTCCAGAGGCGAAGAATACAAATCGGGCCCCACGTTCAGGCCCCATTATACCTTTCCGTGCGTCAAATTAATATTATACTCCTATCTCGAAGGCAAGATCTCGATCACGTTCACGATCACGCGCGAGGGCAGGATTATCCGATCCAGCTATCCTCTGGTGTTTCCGTTTTGGCCAAGGCTGCGGAAGCTGATCCATGCGAAACGGATCCACCCGTTACGGTTAATGTGACGTGTGTTTTGACGTAACCTCTTAATATTAATATTATGTCAGTCATACTCGGTCGAGGTACGGTAGATGGAGGGGGGAGAGGAGGAGGAGGAGAGAGGAGAGGGTATAGAGAGGCGAGTTGGTCAGAGGCGACGATAATTCTCGGGGATGATCAGAAGTCCGTAAGAGTCCAATGGCGGTGGCCGCGACGATCGTGATCCGAATTCCCAAGCGGATTCAAGACAGATCCGCCTTCACGTGTCACTGTCCCTTCCCTTTCCCTTCCCTCGTTCCCTCTTTGTCCGTTCACCGGCCGAGCCGCGCAAGCGAGGAGCAACGGAATTACGATCGGCTCCGCTAGCGCAACCCCTCCAGCCTCGCAGGGAGGCCCCTTTTAACAGTATTTTCTCCTCCGTTCGGGGTACATTATTCATCTCGCGCCTCCTCGTTCCTGTTTCCTCTCTCCTTTCCTCCTGCCTCTCCCCCTTTCCTCCTCCCTATTCCTTCTTTCTTTCCGCTCGACTTCTCCCCTTTTACTTTCTTTTACCCCCGCGAAGGGTTGACTTTGATTTCTTTTTTTTTTTTTTTTTACT